CAACTCTAATTTGATTAAGTGTAAACATCTCTTTATTTCATAGTAAACCGATTTTTACTGACGTTGAGATTGGACTGATAGACGGCAGTTGTGAAAAATCGATCTTGAAACTCCCCACTGTCCTGTAGGTGTAACAGCCATTGAATATTGAGCAATGTCTTTCACGCCCATGAGTTAATAAACCTAAATTTGAACATGAAATGGTATCCATTGACCAATCGTTTCTCTTCACATTCGGTGAACGCGGCACAAAGTGACCTTCGTGATGAAACAGCAGTGTTCTATCTCTCGGATCTAACCCATTGTCGTTACTCAGTGAAACTATGATGGAGGTTTGTCCGTCCAGACATTTGGTTACGGTTTTGATACTTGACTTTTTATCACATCACCGGCGATTGTCTGTCTGTGTGTGTGTGCCCGTAAACCCGCCCCCTTCGACCTTGCCCTTTCGTATGCTCAGGTCATCATACACTGTCTGTCTCGGGATGATCAGGTTAGGGGTGGGAGTGGGGTGGAATATGATTTTGGATCTGACTGATCGTAGACCATTCAACCATTCGAACAAAGTTGCCTCAGTCGGAATCGATCTGGCCGGATGCGAAGTGGGTGGAAGATTAAGGGAATGCAACATGGCCCCCGATTTAATGACCTCAAACCGATCGATCTGCTCTCGAGCAATGAGTTATAACGCGTCTCAGGGGCCAAAAGCTGGTACATGCATGTTCTGATTGAGAAAGGGCGTGATGCAAAGGGCAACCGTGTGTGTGCGTGTGTCTGTATGTGTCATGGTAATGATTGACGGGAGTTGGTCGACCAGCTGTTTGACCGCTCCGGTCATCATGCCATGCTGCGTGCAACCGCGCAACTGGCCTGTTCACTTTTCCGTGCGATCCAGGTCTAGAAGCTCCATTCGTCTGTTGCTCTGGATTTTCGCGGCACCGCGGCAGTGGCACACGTCCCCATCGTCTGGTCATGTTTCCTGTCGGCATGACCATTCGGCAATGACCTGATTAGGTCCACAACCGCGAAAGATGTGGCCCAAGGCAATAGGGATAACAACAACAACAACAACAACCACTACTACGATAACAACAACAAGAACAACTCTGACTTGCTTAACAGATGCACTGTGTTCTTCACTAATGCTGGTACAACTTCACCAAAAGTATGTTGACATTTTTTACACACACACACACATCTGCTGTCAAGAGGAGGGGCAGTGGTGAATGGATGGTTGGCAAAGTTCAGTCGGTTCACACGTAAGTTTCATCGGTGTTCAGCTCTTGCGAATAAACGAGTACCGGTTGAAACAGATTCAATCGAACAAAATGTGTGCCCGTATGTGTTTGTGTTTGCGTGCATGATTGGCATACAGTCCCCGCAAGTAGTTTTCAATCATACAGGCTTGTACAAGGCGTTCTGAGCAGAGACGTATCTGGGCTTCGTTTCACGTAGCTATCTCGTCCGCAGAAACTGGGATCAATTGCACCCACACGATGAATC